AAGAAAAATACTGATGCATTGACCTAAGCAGATTATCCAAATGTTAATGTGTTTATTTTACAAAATTAAAAAGAAGTTACATGTCTTCATATTGATCTCATAGAAAATGCTGGCCAAATACTCAAGCCAATAATTATAGGTGTCTCATATAAAAATCTTGTTCCATGGAAAAAGTATTTCATTCAGCATGCAACCCAATCATGAATGCTTTTTCTTAAAATAACCTCCTGCTTCAGAATGCAGCAGATGTACTTTGTGTTTTATTGTGAAGAACATGAAAAAAGCATGTACCCATGGGTAGAGATTTAATAAAATTAACTTTTACTGCTTCCTCCAGGTATTCATAGTTTAAAAATTGAAAATACAATTTTATCTATGTGTCAAATGCAGTGGTTATTAGTAAAAATTGGGCCCAGGTCTCTTGGCTTGTGCTAAAGTGCTGGGACTTTTCCCAGTCATTACTTTTGCACCATTGAATGTAGTAAATGTTGACACAGAGAAAAGTCTGATGATATATTATAACTAACTATGTCTTAGTGCTAGGAAAACATGAAATACTTATGACTGCACTTCCTGAGTCTTGGGGACTCTTAGAACTCCATGACCTACACGTTAAGAACGCTGCGATGATGGAATGCTCTTTTGACATGTGGTTCTGGGAATTAGTCATACTTTGCCTCCTTTTTGGTCATCTGTTAATTTAAGTACACTTGCATTCAAAGCTTTCAGGAATACATATGTATAATTCTTTTTCATGGAAAGGCATACAGTCTTATAAATACTGCAAAGATAAGTTAAAATCTTGCCTTTTATTAGGCTTCGCCTGTTGGAATTATTATTATTATTTTTTGGCTGTCTGGGACATGGAGATATGTTGGAATTTTTGAAGAATGAAAGTATCTTGTGAACGTCAAAAATTTTGTAACTCTTTTTTAGTAGAATCGTATAGGCTAGCTCAGCCACTTAGTATCCGTATTACCTTGACTAAGCTATTCAACTTGGTGCCTCAGTTTCATTATGTCTAAAATGAGGTAACAGTAGGCCTACTTCATAGAGTTGAATCAATAATGTAAAACTGAGTTTTCATCATAGCTTTATTTTAGCACACTGCAGTCTTTTGAGATGTTGGTTACAAATAATTTGTTTTGGCTTAAACCACAACTCTTAATTTTTTGTAATGTAATAAAACATTATTTAAATTTGTAAAAATATCACATATACGCACTGGTTCTAACTTAAATTCTAATTTGAAGTGTTATTAAAAGTCATTCATGGAAGGAAGGGTCTTGTGTATTGCTTGTTGGATGGGCACACATTTGGGAATTTCTTCAAGTGATTCTTACTAATATTTGATAGATTTAGTGATAGTGAAGAATGCTGTATTTTATTTTACAAAATCATCTTAATGTAATCTCTACCTCTTTTGTATTTTACTAGAAGTTTGTAGCAGTGGGTTTCTAGAAAGTAACAGCCTGAAGACATGACTGGGAAACTGAAAATTTCTTTTGCCCCTTCTAAAATAGTTACAAAATGATGTCATCAAATTACACTCTTTTTTTTTTAAGAGCAAAGCTGTGTAAAATAGTATTCAGTAATCATCTTTAAGATATTGTCAACATTACTAAATACAAGTGTGTATATATATAGTGAAAAACGCTGTAATGTGCCTCATGAATTGGTATTTTATTTATTTATTTTTTAATTGGTATTTTAATACAGTAATATGCTATAGTAGCCTGGAGTATTCTAAGATATTCTGATTATCTCATTTAGAGAAAAGTGTTTTAGAACTTGTACCGATTTATAATATACCACCAGAAGGGGAATGTTCGTGTTTAATAGTTGACTTAAAACCATAGTTATTTTCGGTACATTGATACATTTCCCATGAAATTTTTTTAGTGACAATGGACTTAATAATAAAAGAAGGGGCTGGGCGCAGTGACTCACGCCTGTAATCCCAGCACTTTGGGAGGCTGAGACGGGCGGATCACGAGGTCAGGAGATCGAGACCATCCTGGCTAACATGGTGAAACCCCGTCTCTACTAAAAATACAAAAAAATTAGCCGGGCGTGGTGGCTGCGCCTGTAGTCCCAGCTACTCAGGAGGCTGAGGCAGGAGAATGGCATGAACCCGGGAGACAGAGTTTGCAGTGAGCCAAGATTGAGCCGCTGCGCTCCAGTCTGGGCGACAGAGCGAGACTCCGTCTCAAAACAAACAAACAAATAATAATAGTAAAAGAAGGTACTTTGTGAATAATAAAGCTCACACTATTCTAGAAAGTTATTCTGGAAAGTGATACATAAAGCTGAGAATATAAAGAGACAGTAAAAAAGATTGTTTATGCCCTTTTTTCCTGCCAGTGAATCATAGGCCAATAGTTAAGCTATTACGGTATATAAGGGGTAATTGAAATCTCAAGCAGTGAGACTGTAAATAATTTCCCTATATTAGTGGTTAGATATTGAATTCCTAACCTTTTATAGTGAAGACAAATTCAAAAGTAAAAATATAAATTGAACTCCTGTCCTGTCCTCCCCCGAAAATCATGATTATGAAATCCATATATTTTACTCGATGGTGCAGATGTGTAACCAGCTTCTCAACAACAGAAGATCTACTATATTTGCTTGTTACAGATACGTATCTAGATACTATAGATACTATTTTTATAGCTAGAAGATTTTGGGTGTGATGAAGCATTCTTCACTTTTATCAGTAGGTTCTGAGAACCTATCAGTAGTTTCTAAGTAGTGATAAGGAAATGGCAGTTTGATTTGGTCTACTGAAAGTAGTGATAAATATAATCTTTATTTTAAAATAGTTTTCTAAATGTAATGCTTGATCAGTAGCCAATTTTATATCACAGTCTAGCCTTTTTTTTTTTTTTGAGACAGAGTTTTGCTCTTGTTGCCCAGGCTGGAGTGCAATAGTGCAATTTTGGTTCAGTGCAACCCCTGCCTCCTGGGTTCAAGCGATTCTCCTGCCGCAGCCTCTTGAGGAGGTAGGATTATAGGCATGTGCCACTACTGCCCAGCTAATTTTTTTGTTTTATTAGTAGAGACAGGGTTTCTGTTTTTCTTTTTTTTGAGACGGAGTCTCACCTTGTTGCCTAGGCTGGAGTGCAGTGGTGCGATCTCGGCTCACTGCAACCTCTGCCTCCTGGGTTCATGCCATTCTCCTGCCTCAGCCTCCCGAATAGTTGGGACTACAGGCACCCGCCACCACGCCTGACTAATTGTTTTGTATTTTTAGTAGAAACGGGGTTTCACCATGTTTACCAGGTTGGTCTTGGAACTCCTGACCTCAGGTGATCTGCCTGCCTCAGCCTCCCAGAGTGTTGGGATTACAGGCGTGAGCCACTGCACCCCACCTCAGTCTAGCTTTTTTTGCAGGTCAGTAATAGTATCCATTAATGGTCACAACTGTTACAATGAAAAATTTATTTTTAGGAAAGTTAAAACATGGCTTTTAGGGCTGGGCGTGGTGATTCACGCTTGTAATCCCAGCACATTGCGAGCGTGAGGCAGGAGGATTGCTTGAGCCCAGGAGTTAGATACCAGCCTGATCGACATAGTGAGACCCTATCTCTATAAAAAAATAATCAAAAAATTCGCCAGGCATGATGGTGCATGCTTGTCGTCCCATCTATTAGGGAAACCGAGGCAGGAGGATCCCTTGAGCCCAGGAGTTCGAGACTGCAGTGAGCTATGATGACGCCACTGCATTGCAGCCAGGGCAACAGAGCGAGGGTCTCTGAAAAAAAAAAATTAAAAAAGAAGGTTTTAGAAAGGTTGGCATTTAAATGTTCTAAATAATGTGAAAAAGCATTTTTATCCCTTCATGATGGTGTTTTTGTTGTACCGTAGCTTCATTCATTAAGATTGCCTTTGGACATCTCCGTTTAAGTTGGGCAGTTTTTTTAAGGAGCCACTTGTGGCTTAATGGCAATTACGTTTCCGTCATAGGCTTTTATTTTATTTCCAGCTTTATAGGTGCTTTTCAGCAGTATTTTGTATTATCAAATGGAATTTTAAATGAACATTTAGATTTTAATAAGATTGCTTTTTCAAAAGTACAGTAATTATGCTTTCTTTAAACATTTCTGCAATTGTTTCATAATGGAATGTTTTTCGTGATTGCTACATTTAACAAAGTTTTCTGTGATTGGAAATGGTCATCAAGTCAAAGTGAAAATTGCAATTTTCGTATGTTATCTTGAGTAATTTCACTTAGAGATTTCATTGAAGTTAATTCTATGTCACTATTGTTGGTAAATGAAGAGCTTTTAGGAAGCAGTTTCTGTAGTGAAATTTCAGATGTTTTAAATATTTCTGTTTTATAGTTAACTGTGTAATACTTTCATTCAGGTTTTCAAATAAAATTACTGCACAGTTAAAGGAAAGCAGTGTTATGTTGAGCTTTCAGTAATTGCTTGTGTGGGCTTTCTGTAGTCCCTAGATGGAATAATGCTTGAGTAGATAAATAAAAATACATGAATGAATTATAATTTAGGCAATGAAGATTGTAACCTTATTTTTAGCATAATTCCCTAAAGCTGTTTGTGTTATATATTTGAATACATTTCAATATTAACTTGGTAACAGTCATTTCTATTTTAAGACTTCAGTGACCTGGGAGGAGAAAATAATTGGCTTTGGTGGTTATTATTACTAGATTTCCCTTTGCTTGGAATGTAGGCATGTATCTTTCATCTGTTGGAATAAAAACATTAATCTGTGGTATGTTTTATATAATCTGTTTCATTAGTAATCTAATCTTGCAATATAAACTGGGTGCATTAAGTGTTTGTAGTATATTAAGCCTGGGAGACTGAAGTTTCTTTTCAGCATTCTTATTAAGTATATGATGATGGAAATTTTTCAAAATTTTTAATGAAAAATGATGTCCCAATTCACTCTTTTCTTTTTGATTTTAGATGGGAAATGTAAAGTCATAAGATCAATAGGTTGACTGTGACAACTATGTTTACTTACAGAGAGAACAGGAAATGAGAATGGGTGATATGGGTCCCCGTGGAGCAATAAACATGGGAGGTAGGGATTTGAAGCAAAAGGCTTTTGTAACTTATCATTTTTGGGGGGACTGTTTATGCTGTTTGTGGTATATTCTTATATCAGTAAGAAACTAAAATACGGAACCAACATTTCTAAAGGTGAAATCTCTTACATCCATTAAACTGGAATACCATACAATTATATTAAAAATATATGCTTGGGAAGAAAATTCTCATTTTGTTTTTGTTTGAAGGCTAAAAGATGTGTTATACATTCATAGGCTTAATGAAAGAAACATATAAACCAGGTTGTAATACAGCCTGAAAGTAGTTTAGTCATTACATTGTGTAATACAGCTCTGTCTTTGCAGTTTTAAAATCAAATTGTATTCCTTCTAATTGGCTTTTTGTTTGTTTGTTTTGTTTTTTGAGGCAGGACCTCACTGTGTTGCCCAGGCTGGAGTATAGTGGTGCAATCTCAGCTCGCTGAAACCTCTACCTCCTGGGCTCAGGTGGTCCTTCCATCTTACCAAGTCGCTGGGACTACAGGCACGCGCCACCATGCCTGGCTTATTTTTTGTGTTTTTAGTAGAGACAGGATTTCACCATGTTGCCCAGGCTGGTCTTGAACTCCAGGGCTCAAGCAGTTTACCCGCGTTAGCTTCCCAAAGTGCTGATATTACAGGCATGAGCCACCTGGCCTGTCCTAATTGGACACTGGAAATGGATAGTTTCTGAGCAGGAAATTGATAGGTCCTGAGTGTGTTTTTAGGCTTTTAGAGAGCGTTTTATATACATTTCTATCTTAAACTAGTTTTTTGTGTAACTTTAAACCTGTTTTCCTTCACTCTAATGAATATTGAACTTTTTTCTTTTAACCTACAGTGTTGTGCACAGAAGTGCACTCAGTCTTTGTAGACTATGACTCATCAGGGGAATTACGTGTGTCGCCAATGCATGTTTTAGAGTTAACTAAGTTTTTAAGAAAGTATATTAGCAACTTTAGTATGGATTTGCTCGTATAGCCAAGTTGCAAGGGAAATAATGCCAAGTAAATAACTTAAAGGACAAACAAGCGTGCCTTACTAAATTTCATAGGCCTTACTAAATTTGAAATTTGAAATGTCATACATTTAAAAGTTGGGTAAGGAATTAAATTTTATGAAACGAATTGTCCCGCAAAAGCTGTCCCACATTTAATTGTCCCACAAAAGCTGTTATGAAGCTAAAAATCTTTATATAACTTAAATGTACATATTGTTTTAAAGATTACACTACCATGGCAAACAATATACTTAACATGCACACCCATTTACAAAATCAAGTATGTTCTTAGCATATATAGTCTATCAAATGAAACTTAAGTCATGTGTGAAATGAACATTTTCCATGATAAGCCTTTTTTCTTAAACTTCTATTGCCAGTGTTTCAGTACTACTAATCAGATAATGTAGAGTCATATATTGCTGTTTACTTGGTCACTTTTTACCAATGAGTAGTTAGTAAATATCTCTGGTATATGCAGAAAGCAAGGAACATGGCCCTTGCCCATAAAGAACTTAATTGTGAAATTACTGCAGTGGATACATGAAATAATTAATGAACCGAGAGCGTCTGCATTCTAAATTAAGAAGCATAATTGAGTATAGGGATGTCCAAGTGGTCCAATATTCATATCTTTTTTTTTTAGAGTAAATGCTGGGATGGTATATAATACAATCCATGTAATTTTAAGGATTTTAGGAATAAGATTATTATAGATTATACATGGCAGTTTAAAAGGCCGTTCTTATTAGAGTGACATTAACATCAGAGCTAAACTTTAAAATAGGATAAAACTTAAAACCATTTCTGATGGCACAGAGATACTCTGCAATTTTATCAGAAGAAATATAAGAATATGTCTTTAGAGTCCTTATTTAGTTAGGAATTGAAGATAACTTAAAATTTTTGTGACATTTTATTCACCAGAGGACCTATTTACATTTTAGCACTTAATCTCCTAAAGTCCAGTTTATCTAATTTTCTCTTCAGTCTTCATTCAGTGTGAGACTTCATCATAATGGTTTTCTAGAGCTATTAATCATTATCATCCAGTTGGGTTGTTGAGAAGTTAAAACTGTCATAACTCACCAAGTTACATTGATGGAAAGTGGCAGCAGATTTTCTGGTGTATCACTAGTGTGTATAACCAAGTGAAACATACATTATAATGCTACCTTTCTAGTAACCAGATAATGCTAACATTTCTTAGATCTTTAAATTTATTTACAGCTATGTGGTGGAAGATGTGAGTACTAAAAGTAAAACTCTTAAGTTAACTACTGTGAGTTGGAAATATTATTTTTGATTTTTTTATACCCATAGTTGTGTAGTTATTTTCGAACCCACCATTGTAAAATTACATTCTATTAAACAGAAAGAGAGGAAAAAGAAACTAAATTTGTTTTCTGGGGGATAATTGAGGTAAGATGCCTCTTAGATACTGTTCTTATACTCTCTTCATTTCTAGTTGTAGAAATTATTAAAAATAGCTATTTAGGGCTATAGTGAGGGAGTGGAAATACTCTTGGATAAAGTCTGTTTATTGGCAAGAGCATTTGGGGATGAAAGAAATAATTCCTTCCTATGAATTTGCTGGGTTTCTGGGGATTGGATTTGAAGGCAGAAGTGCGATGCCAGGGGCTGGTAGGGACTCAGCCATGTAGAGATTTCAGCTTCATTATAGTGTATATTTGAGAAATTGAGTTTTTATTGTCAGAAAATTGACCTGTGTAATGAAATACTAAAGAAAACCCTGAATTAGAATGGCTTTGTTACAAATTTTTAATGATAAACAAGCAATAACACTTAAAAGGGAAAAAATTTTTCAAAGAAAATGCCTAAAAATATGTTGTATCTGAGATCATCATATATGTAGTATTAGAGTGCAAACACTGTTTAAATTAATATGAGATAGGTGGATTTTTTAATGAAAAAACTTGAAATAATATCAGATTGTCCCCATTTGTGGAATTTAAGCTTGTCAGAAAGATCCAGATAGCTATATTAATATTTTATCTGTATTTGGTTGCGGTTGCTTTTAAAAATACGTTTTGTTATAAGTCATTTCAGTTTTTTTCTTTAGATTCCATATTTCAAAATAAAAAGTTAAAAAAAGAGTACTTCCTGTAATTTAGCAAGGTATTCCATCAACTCAGGGAGGAAAAAAAAAAAACTAAGATGAGAGGCTAGTTATAATGATCTTTATTTATATATTGCAGGAAATGATTTCCTCTGTAGCAACTTAGCATAATTTACATGCTAATATTTTTAGCCATGGGTTAAAAAAAAATTAAGTGGTTTTGTAAGTGCTAATCCTTTGTTACTCATTTAAACTGGTAAAATATAGTCCCCTTTGTTAGGGATTATTTGGTTTAAAAGCCTACTATAACAAATAATACTGATGTCTCAAAGCTTGCAAACTGTTCAGAGTCTCAAATGCCCTAAAATGATTGATAGTTTCCTTCTTGATTTTATGTACGTTTGGCTTGGGGATGAAAATTCTAATTCTAGAGTGTAGGTAATGCTGTATTACAGAGTAGATAATGCATACCCCATTCTCAAGGAGTGAAAATAATTTTGATAACAGTCTTGGTATATAGATTGCATAAATATTGTTAAATTTTTAATGTTTACTAAACTAAGATAGGACAGCTCTAAGTATAGATTGTTTTACATAGATGCGTTTAGCCCAGCACCTGCTGGTAACCAAGGTCCTCCTCCAATGATGGGTATGAATATGAACAACAGAGCAACTATACCTGGCCCACCAATGGGTCCTGGTCCTGCCATGGGACCAGAAGGAGCCGCAAATATGGGAACTCCAATGATGCCAGATAATGGATCAGTGGTAATGTATCATAAACATTATTTTGATTATATTCAGTAATGTACACTTCTGCATCAAGGATAGCTTCACACTTAATATAATTTGGTATCATTTCTTTTGGCAGCCATTGAAGAAGAAAATTTTGTGACATCATATGTTGATTTATTACAGATAGTTTTTTTTTTTCTTTTTTTTTTGAGACAGAGTCTCGCACTGTTGCCCAAGCTGGTGTGCAGTGGCACGATGTTGGCTTGCTGCAACCTCCGCCTCCCACAAACAATTCTCCTGCCTCAGCCTCCCAAGTAGTGGACGCTACAGGCATGCGCCACCACGCCTGGCTAATTTTTGTATTTTTAGTAGAGACAGGGTTTCCCTATGTTGGCCAGGCTGGTCTCAAACTCTTGACCTCGTGATCCACCCGCCTCGGCCTCCCAACGTGCTGGGATTACAGGCGTGAGGCACCGCATCCGGCTGAGATAGTTTTTAAGTAGTCCAAGAATTAGGATTACTGTCTGTGGCATGCTGTGGTACCTCAGTATATAGCAAATGCATATGTTAATTACAGTTTTTTTCTGTGCTTTTAGTTTGTATCCATCATTTACCAGTATTCTAATGTTCAAGTATTTTATGATGGTGTTCTTTTCCTGTGTGGACTCTTTATGTTTGATGGGGACAAAAGTCCAATATATATGAACACACAGTTTTCAGTAAATATTTTTGTTAAAAATATTACCTGTCATGATTTATTGCAAGGAATTTAGTTATAAAATAACATTAAAGTTTTTCTGTATTCCTAAACCACTATTGTGGCACTTTTCACAGAATTTTAAATTACATTTAATAAATTTAAAGTAGACAGTTTTTTGTCTTGATCTGAGAGTGTGAAGATATCTTTGTGTGGATTAAATACTATGAAAACAAGGTTTTTCTGTTGTAATTTTTATTATATTTAAATATATTGATAGCAGGAATGATACCTTTTATCATTTCCATTAAAGTCTATCACTATATAAATGGGACTTTATACAGGCAAACTGTTTTCTCAGTTAGTGTTTGTTAATGCTTGTTCTGAATAACGTTTTGAAAGGGAAGTTGTTTGGTTATCTATTTTGAAAAGACAGTTTAGTTTTGAAACTACTGTATGAAATCTTGAGGCGCCCATGCTGCTAAGAAAGAAAAAGCACTGCCATTTAGACTCAGACCGGTCACCAATTGTAAATCCATCGTGATGAGAGACGTTAAAAGCAATGCATTGTATGTCTTAGATTTGAATGCAGCGTTTATCATTATTCTGTTTGCTTCAAATGTAGTCTTTTAAGAATGTGGAGAAATAGGACGTGCTGGCAGTTGGATTTTTAAAATGATAGTTTATACAGGGAGATAAAGAGGCAGTGCACGGCTACTATGAACAGATGGCGCTTAACACATTGATTGCATTTATTTCCTTCAGTAGAGGCTTTATTTTGTAGTAATATGTTTGAAAGCTAGTAAAAACTTACACTACTTTGGTTAAGTTTTTGTGTGGCATATAATCAATAGAAACATAGAAGTAACATTAACTGTCCCATTTTTTAATTGTCTCCCTGAAATTGTAAATTTTATTTAAATATCACCTTTGGTGTTTTTTGCACTGACATTTTACTGCTACACTTTAGGGAGTTCTGTCCAACCTTTGAGATTAATATGTATGATTATTGTGAAGTTTTTCAAAATACTTAATTCATATGTTTAGTTGTGCTTATTAGTGCATGTTATTACATTAATTTTTAAAACTATTTTCCCAATGATAATATTTCAAGGAAAACACTCAGAAGTTTCTATACTGAAATCATAATTCTTTGTGTATGTTTGTATTAGTGCTTTCTATCTTCAAGGAATTGATGTAAAGATTTTTTTAGAATGTTTACTTTTAAAAAACAACGTGATGCTGCTCCCCAGTTTTATTTCTCTGATTTTTTTTTGAAAAAGTATTTTTCTTACATGGCATAGTTTCATGCAAGATAAACTTTCGAAAAAAGGAATAAGAGCTTTATTATAATATTGTTTAGGCTTAAGATTACATTTGCTTCTGTCACGAAGTCAGTTCTTTGTTCTTGAAATTGGGGCATAGCATTAGCAATATGTAAATCTTCAGATGCTGCATTTTTTTTAAAAAAACATAGTAACTAATTAAATTGCTCCTTTCTTCCTTCTATGTGTGATCCTGATTCTGCTGGACTTTCTGCCGAACTTCATGACACCACCACTTGGGATTTTGCCAATTTTTCTTGTCACTTATATTTGGCGTGTTCCAAATGGACTTCATATTCTGTTCCTTATTGTGTGGTATCATAGCACAATGACAGATTTCCTCAAGGACCGCCATCTCAGATGGGTTCACCTATGGGGAGTAGAACAGGTTCTGAAACCCCTCAAGCACCAATGAGTGGTGTAGGTCCTGTGAGTGGTGGTCCTGGTGGCTTTGGTAGAGGAAGTCAAGGGGGCAACTTTGAAGGCCCTAATAAGCGTCGTAGATATTAAACATTCGTTCATTCCTGGCTATCTAGAAAAAAAAGTCAGTGGTATGCCTTTATACTTTTACCTGTTACCTGGAATAAATGGTTTTATTGTTAATGTATGTAGACTTAAAAGTTTTTTTTTTTTTTTTGTAACACTTGAGGTTTTGTAATTTTCTTTATTCATGAGCTTTGTAGATTAGAATGGTAATGATGCTCATCATTTTGAATGTTGAAATGTGTTTGTGACTTTAGCTAAATATAAGTATTCCATAGTACTGTGAAATCTATGTAGTTACTTAATCTCAATAAAGAAATCATTTTGGATAATTTAAAACTGTTATTAGTGGTATTCTCTTATGGTCTTACTAAACTTTGCTGTAACAGTAATGCTTTGGTTGCTTTAACTAATCCTAGTCGTTAAAAATGAAAATGATTTTGCTTTTTAATTTGTGCAAGTAGCACTGAAGATAGAAGCTTAATTAATGAAAGCTAATGTTAATAAGGGGTAGATAGAGTAGTATATGTGGGGGTGGGAGGGTATGGGAGTTTAATTTGTATAAACACTGATGTTCTGTGAAATCGGAATTTCCACCGACATTTCATATATATTCTGAATATTCAGGTATTCTGAGACAGATTATTAAGGATATCTTTGTCCTGTGCTGATTTTTCCAAATAAATCTTTTCATCTTGAAAAAAACTGTTTGAAGGCAAATCTCTTTTGCTTATAAAAAATAATATCTAGTTTTAAACATATCTGCCATTATTTATTTGGTTTCAATATCTAGACCTTACCTCAATTATTATCATACAGTTAGTGTTAAACATTCTTTAAAATAAAATAATACTGTTGGGTTGGCTGTTAAGTGAGGATTTGCTGTGTGATTTGTGGTGAATTAGGCATTTCTTGAGAATGTAGGTTTCTAGAAGTATTAAAAGATGGCTTGACTCTGCAGTGTTGTAAATATTTCCCTAAAGTTTGGACATTTCTCCAGTCAAACTTGTCTGGTGGGTTCGAACCGTTTGTCTCCAAGGAGCGGCAGTGTTTTGTTTTGTTTTTTAAATTGTTTGTTCATGTTTTTCAAGATAATGCTGAGACATCAAAGGAGTACAGTTCAAGAGGTGATTTTAAAAAGCAGATAATTACTTGAGAATGGCTAGAGTCATTGGAATCTGAATAGCTCCCTTTACTATCAAATACCTATTTTGATTTTCAGTACTAGGGAGAAACTGATTTTATCACATTATAATGTTTATTGCAAAACAAAGTCATAACTGTATTTAAAAATATGTATGTTGGTCATGTTTATTTAAAATTACATTTAAGGAATAATATGTGACTCATACCACAAATCTAATTCATTAGACACTGATCATAGCATAGCTATTTCTCATAAAACATCACAATGGTTTGCTATATCATGCTTTCAGCACCTTTCTGAAAGATAGTATGCTATTTTAAAATAAACAGTATGTAAATAATGGTGTCTGTTTTGCTGGAAGGTATAGTTTGGAAAGAAACCATTTAAATTTTGCATAAAAGCAGTTGGTTGTAAAGCGTAATTGATGCATTCTTTTATACTAATTAAAATTTTCGTAGGTACTCTTTCATGTTCTATTATTTTCATGTTCTATTATTAGAACTGTTTTCTAAAATTTACGGTATTCACAGGCTTTTGTTTTTGACAGTTCTTTAAAAACATGATATGCTGATTGTAAAATAATAGTCAAAGACTATTCTCATGTTTCTCATAAGTATGAGGTGATGGGAGAGTGGGATTTGCTTTAATTTGTGACATTAATTGGGATATGGGGAGTTTTAACATTGATTACAGTTTTTCAGTGATATCTGTTGCACTTAAATCTACATTTCCCGTCATCTATATTTTATCCATATAATTCTCAGGTAATTTTTAGCATTGTATTTCACTTCAAAGCTGAAATATGATTGGGAGAAACTTGATCCTTTGATGTTATACCAAGCTACCTTTGGCCAAGGCTGTGAAATTCTGTATGATTCATTCAAGAACATTTGAAGGCCAGTGCACAAAAAGATGTCTTAATCTCCTGAACATCCTAGTGTCCAGGCTCAACTCTGGCACCAAGAACAGAGTCCTACACAACTTTTTCCCGGCATCAAGAAAATCCTTGTTCCGGCTTTACCAAGTTTACCCTGGGAGCAGTCAGCTTCTGAGTGACAGTCAAGTGGAGCATCTCTGAACTCCTAGTTATTCCGTGCTTTTAGTGTTTTTGTATAGTTCAACTTTGTGGCTGGTTCAGTAAATTTTTTTTTTCTTGTGAATTAGTATACCAAGGAAGATTTTTGAATATCATCTGCTTAAAAGTGGTAGATACAAAAATAAAGAGGAAATTCAGTAGTGTTAGCTTTCTAAGTAAGTGTGAAGTTGTCATATGTGCTATCATATTTTTTTCAAAGAAGTAATATGAAACAATTTTAATATAAATGTTATGGTAGTTTGTGTCATGATTTGAAGTACTGAGTTTAGAGTCTTCAGGACTTAATGTTTCATGTGCTACTTGTAATTAGTATGTATAAAATAAAGGAACACTTGTTTTCCTAATAGTTTTATTCTAGTACTATATGTTGTTGGAATTTCCCCCATTTTTGTTTATTTTGTAAATAAATGCATTTTTTTTTCTTGACAGATGTAGATTTTAAAAAACTGATTCACTTGTGTTTTTGCAAAATTAAATTTGCTATTTTTCCTAAAGGTTTTTTTTTTTTTTATTTTTCTGTGTAAAATCAGTGCTGAGCACTCAGTGAAAGAGATTGAATATTTTTATCCCGGAAATATCAGTAATATTAGGGGAAGAATATCTGCTTTAGCTGGAATTGCCATTTAATAAAATAGGAATTATCAACAAGGATAGTGACTGAAACTTTGGCTCTTGTTTTTCAAACACTAGTTGAAATAATACTTTTACAGTTTGTTCAGAAACATACTTGTAGAATATTTCAGTAACTTGGTGCTTACATGTAGAGTCTCTAATAATTGTTAAATAGCAATGTGAATGATTAGTAGCCAATAATTAGTAAAGGGGGGTTAGGTTGATAATTACAACATAGATTCTGAATGAGAAAAAGGACATATACATGATTGAAATCAAGTCAGTTTTGTGAAAGGATGTGATCACATTATGTTAAAAGCTTTACAAAAAGGGTTGAGATTTAGTGTCAGATGGTACTAGTCAAAAATAAATGGGCCACATCATTTTGAAAAAATGGAGGAAGTTTCCTGGGGAGTAAGGTAGTATTTAAGTGTTTTCTCTAGGTGTTCAGAGTTTTGTTACAACATCTAATGTGTTAAAATATATTCCTGAGGTGCCAAGAGGATAGCAGTGATATAAAAAGTCAGACTTCTTATTTTCAAGAATAAGACAGTAAACACCCATATACGTATCTTCTAATTCAACAATTGTTCGTGTTTTCCTGTGTTGGTAGATATTTGTAGGCATGGACTTTTTGGGGGGATGGCAAACTACTTCAAAGTAAGTAGCAGGCTTGATGTTATTTCTCCCCTAAATGTTTCAACACATACCTCCTAAAAGCAACATTTTTAGGTGAATTTCATACGGATGAAGATTCATTTCCTGAAATCAGAGAGTCCACCTCTTAAGTTATGTAGCCCAGTATGGAAATATTTCATTCTAAGCAAATCATATGATTCAATGAATAGGGAGTAGTCTTATACTTTACAAGAGCATTTTGTTTCCAGCAGCTTTCATTACTGAACTTTAAAAATTAAAATCATTTTTCTCTATTCACTTTACATGTTTTTCTAGTGGTGTAAAATGAAGTATGTCGACTGTTTCCTAAGTGAGTATCCATCAGTTAATTTATGGACTGTTACTCTGGGGAAATAATGCAAAAAATGCGGGAAAAAGTTACAGTGTCTCATGTTTAAAATCTGGATTTTTCTAAATATCAAAAGCTGAGATGAACCTGGGCAGTTGTAGTGAGACTTTGTCTCTACAAAAAATAAAAAAAATAAAAAAAAAAATATCAAAAGTAGTGTCTTCTATATGTTGTGAAAGCATTTTGAATTTGTTTTTGTTTCCTTGATTATGGAATAGCAATATTAATGATTGAAATTTGAAGCTTGTAAGACAATGTTTAAAGGCTTACCCAAAACTGTTGTTTTCTGAGTTTATTTGACCTTTTTTTCTGTAAAACTGTTTAGATTATAAATATCTCTAAGGGTTCCTCTTTGTTGAAACTTACTATTTGATTACACTTTTATTTTTACCTGATGAAATAACAGTGTATGAGTTTTTTCTATTTTATGACATTTTGTTTTCTTTTTGAATAACAGAAGTCTATTAAATTTCCAGATTGAGGATAGTGAAATTCTTAATGTTATATATAGCCAGAGTTTATACATACACATTAAACAAAATCTTTTTGAAGAAAATTTTATGGCTTCAGTTACCATTGTCACTATCAGTTCCCTCCTCTGCAAAAGATACTGTATTTTAAAAAGAATTTTGTCAGAATTGTTCTTTTTAAATTTGTCTTTCTCATTTAATCAGATGAACTTTAAAAGAGATGGTGTTCTGCTTGTACACATGAATAAAATTTCAGTCCTGTCTTGTGGAATATAAATCACTCAAATTTCACGTTCAGTCTCAAAATGAAGAATAGAATCAGAATTAAGTAGGATTAAGTGGAAGTGTACTTTGAACACATTTCGTTTTAGATTTTCTTCATATTTTAATATAAATTTAGTCAATAAGACAAAGTATTCATTAAATACGAGGTCGTACATTGTGTTGATAGTAATATAAGTGGACCTTGTATTTGTTAAATGCTCTGTATAAGTGTTTTGTTGATGGTGTTGAAGACTTTGAAATAGATACCTTAATCTAAATTTTATCTTTTTATTTTTATCTATTTCACTGTCTAAATTTTTATCTAAAATTTTTTCTAGCTCTTTATTACACTAAGACAACTTGACATTTTTATTTATATATTGTACATCTCATGTAACGAATTACCCATATATAAGCTAGTGTCACATTCATTCATTATGTTTTGTGTTTTCTCTCTGACTGGATCTCTGATACATTCTTTCCTGTTCTAGCTGCTTTTATGCAAAAGGGTGTTGCATGTTTGTCAATCAACCAGGCTTATGTGAATGTTAAGAAGAATTATGTAAATATATAATCCTGTGCCTATTCCCTTTTGCCATGTTTGGAATACAAATTATTTACATTATTATCTTTTTGCTTATTTAAATAATTTACTTTTGCACATTGTTTGTATTATTTCTTACATGAAAATTGAGAAAACATCTTAGTGTACTTTTCGAGGTT